GACTGACTTGTATTGATTGGCATTTATTGTGGACAGCAAAGTAAGAATTTCATTGTGCAGGGAAACATGTTTCCTTACTGTACATATGACAATAAACACTTTGAATCTTGAATCAAATGTATTCCTGGGGCCAGAGCGGGTGACATCAAATCCTATTTGAAGCTGCTGACCCTAACCCTAACCCTAACCCCCAGCAAGGGGGGATAAACATAAATACAGTAAGATTGTTATTCACGTCAGTGCTAATGACTCCTGACTTTGCCAGTCGGAGTCACTGAAATTAATATTGAGTTGGTGAATAACTTTGCCAAGTTTTCTGTAGGCTTCATAGATAACTGGAAAACAGTTTGGGGAAAACATGGTCTAATTAGCAGAGACAGCATCCATCCCACTTTGGATGGCACAGCTCTCATATCTAGAAAGATAGACAAGTTTATTTTATAATCTAAATGATGACAACCCAGAGTTGAGACCAGGAAGCAGAATAGCAGTTTTACACTTAGTTTATACATACTTGCTGTCTATACCAATGTGCCTAGTGGCACGTGCCAAAAAATTATGTCACAGCTGCTGGAGCACGGTTTACATTGGTGTCATTTCACCAGGTCGGGCATCGCTCAATTTTTATAACTTGGCACACACCAAACAGGAAATGGTCAAGCTAGGGGCAAGAGTGTGTGAGCAAGTCTGCCTCTCCAGACATTCAATATGACCTTGTTAGGTATTTTTTAGTCAGATAGATATTGGTTAGATACTTGTTGTATTAGAAATGTTTAGTGGAGACAGGATGTCTAGTTTAAATGCTTAGTCATTCTCATGAGTTTTTTGCAGGATACATTATGGTCAAGGATAACTAGATAGAAAAGTTTGATTGTCAGCAGGCAGGATGATTATTGTTATTATTATGATATGTGTAACCGTAATTGTAATCATAATATTTTCTTATGTTTTAATGTCATGACATGTCACTAGATGTCATGTCAGAATGTTCTTAGATACACACCACTTAATTAACACTCACACACATTGATTTTCTTCATGTTTTGACTATTGTTATGGTCAGCTGCAAAGCTGGCATATCAGGTGATGCCACGGTTTGATGTCCCTGTGTAGTATGGGGCTAGCCCAGCCGAAGAGATAAAATGTATAGGCTATTGTGGTTCAGGGTCTTTCATTCTTCATCTGCCTGCGTGCAGTATCGGAGGTGGAAGATACCTGGACATGTAATGTTAATTTTACCTGTGATTCTTTGAATAAACCAGCACGGTTTTTTTTATATATCCAAGTGGTCCGCCTCGTCTCTCTGAGTTTCACTGGTTAAGCGTAACTGGGAAAAAAGCTTTCAATCTTATACAGACATCAATGGTTTGGTGTGCTGGCTAGGTTAGAACACTGAAATGTTGTCTAACATATAAAGATTCTTTCAGCTATTCTGTAGGTTCAGTATCTGTTGGTTAGCTAGCCGGCTGGTTAGCTACAAAACATATTTCCTGTAGATGTCTTCCTCTGTTGCTATTCCAGCAGTGTAGATTGTGTATTTCTCAGCAGCAACACCTACTGTTTAGGAGAAGACAGCAGCAAGTCAAGCAAGCCTCAAGAGGGAGTAAAAACAGTTCTGGTTCTGTCAATGCATCAAGCATAGCCACATGTTTACACATCTCTCTGCAGTCTCTTTCCAGCTGCTACCCATCCAAAATTCCAAGTATCCCAGAGAGAGTCTGCCTGCGAACACCTAAATTATATAAATCAAAAATCTACTCGAGGAGTTATTCATAAGAGCCTAATCAAACTTAAGACTACACCTCTTAGAGAACAATATAACAGGACAATAAAATATTAAATGTCAGATTTCTCATCTAAATCTCTTTTAGTGAATGATTTGATAAGTGAACATCCCATTGATTTATTTTGGCTTACTGGAACCTGATTACATGCAGGAAGAACATATCAGTCTACTGTAAATGAATCCACCCCACCTAGTCACAGTAACTGTCACAGACTGAGGTGGATGTGTGGCAGCGATCTTTGACTCAAGCCTATTAATCAACCCTAGACCTAAACATAGTTATAACTCATTTGAAAGTCTCACTCTGAATCTCTGACACTCAAACTAGAAAACTCAAAAGCCATTGTATACCATCTACCTGCTCCTTATTCAGAGTTTTTAAATGGAATCTCAGACTTTGTCTGATTTAGTACTTAGTACAGATAAAATAATCATAGTAGGCAACTTTAATATTCACGTAGATGCTGACAATGACAGCCTCAACTGTGCATTCTGTTCATCATTAGTGTCAGGTTTGCCCGGCCGCTCTGGCCTCTCTCACCTTTCGTATTGTCTCTTAGCCCCTGATTACCAATCACATTCACCTGTTCCTCACTCCCTTATCACCAGCTGCACTTGATTAGGCTGCTCACTACTTATACCCGGTTTCACTTCTCAGTCACTTGCCAGTTCGTTCCTGTCTCTAGGCCATTTACTTCGTGCTCTCTCTTTAAATGTTCTCCTCGTTTATTTGCTCTGCATTATCTCCAAGTATCCGTATAGTTAATGCTCTGACGTGTCCTTTTGTCTATCTCCCCCAAGCCAGCAACTGTTTTTCTCCCCTGGACTGTTTCCTCCGAACCGTGGCTCCACTCTTCCCTCCCAGGCAGGTCAATGCACAGTCACCGATTTGTTCTGCCATTACCACCGTCTCTCTGTGTCTCTTCAGTAGCCACCATCAACCACCGACCAGCCCAGGAGTGACCCCGCTACGCAGCTCGGCCCATCTCATCCATCTTCTCACTCCTCACCTCCTGCTGATGGTCAACACCCGGCTACTCCTCATATTCAGAGCAACGCATTATTTCTTTTGTGTATATATATCACAGCACTGTACATAAAATGGATCACAGCTTGCACCGAAGTCGGCTACCTGGGTCCGCCTCTTATTCTCGTTCGCTCACTGCCAGGTGCGAATGACTCCTAACAATTAGACTTAGTGTTATGATTTAGTCCCCCTCACCAGGAGGGTGAGGGAGAACTGAAGTAGGACTCAAGAGTACAGACACAGGTGCTAGTAAAAAAAGGTGGTTTAATGGTGGCCTCACAAAAAGGAACAGAGTAAATGAATACATACAACCAGTGTCGGACAGAGATGGTTGAGGAGACCAGGACGAGCAGATGAGTAGACAGAACAGGGGCAGGAACCAGGAGAGTTAGAGGACTAGGATGGACAGGTGAGTAAACAGAACAACCAGGAGGATTAGCAAACGCCGTCAGGGAAGCAGAGTAGCGAACGAAAAAAGAAATCAACAGCACAGGAACTGTCAGCGTTGAACTCAATTACACATGCCTAAACACAAGGAAACAATGTACAAAAGAAAACCACAGCACAAGAACTGTCAGCGTGGAAATCAAGAGACGTATACAAAAAAAAAAACACGTAACCGACGTACAAAAAGAGATCCACAGCACAGGAACTGTCAGCGTGGAAATCAGAAACACGTATGACACATACCATGAATGCAGGTATGTCTACAGGTAGTTAGTTATTTAGGTAAGGCAATGCTCCAGTGACAATGGAGCATCTGCCAGACGTTTAAATAAGGTGATAAAGTGATTACCGTAATACGCCTCAGCTGTGCACGGTAACCCACGAGTCACTAAATACAACATCTGACACAGCTGAGGCGCTGATCCCGCAAAAAAGAGAGAGCAGGAGAGAGAAAGGCAGAAGAGAGGCAGGTCATGCCGAGCGGACCTGACACTCAATTGGCTTTTCTCAAACTGTAAATAAACCCACTCACTGTTCTAATCACACTCTTGATCTTTTTCTGACATGTGGCTTTGAAACTGAACACTCAATAGTTTTCCCCCAAAACCCTCTTCTCTCTGACTATGTTCTAATAACATCTGAGTTTACATTAATGGATTATACAGCATTTAGGGAAACAATTCCACTACAGTAGATGTCTGTCTGACAATGCTGTTACCGAATTTAAGAAAATAATTCCACATAAAGCAGGCATCACAACAACAGGAAAGGAGGTTGTGTTCAACTAAGTCAGAAGAGTTTTTCCTAGTCTGGAAAGATATCTTAATAACATATTAAAAAGCCCTTTTTAGTACCAGAACCGCATAATATTGATTACTAATGGAGTAAAATAAGAACAACCCCAGGTTTCATTTCAGTACTGTAGCCAGGCTGAGAAAGAGCCACAGTGCTGTTGAGCTTACTGTAGATCTCAGTAGTAATGACTTCATGAGCTTCTTTACAAATAAAATCAGAGAGAAATAGAGAAAACAATTCTTCAAATCCTTCCCACAACTCTCACAGATGTATCATCAAGTACAACAGCTTTAGAAAAATTGATAAATCCTCATTTACATATATACTGCTTCTCTCTCATAGAACTCCATGAGCTGACCCCAACAATTGCTTCATCTAAATTTTCAACATGTCACTTAAGGGGTTTTTCCATTATAGGAACATAGTGAAACATATCGCGCCGAGTAATGCTCATCACAGGTTCTGTGTATGTTTCCATTATACTCGGCCTGCTTTGGAAGTGTTTTCTGAGAGCTAAATTTCAGCACCCCTTATGTGGTAGTACTAAAATCAAGTACCAGGACCACACGGGGAGGGGTAGGTGCACACAGAACAGTCACTAGTGATTGGCTAAATGTCTGCGTTGTCACACCTCAAGCATTATTAGCATTACAAGCACTCTGTAGACACACAACTAACTGTGTGTGAGAGAGGGGAGCAGCACCTACCTTCTGTAAACAAAAACTGACAGAGAGAAAATAGAGTGGAAAAACAAAGCAGGACAGTCTCCATCACCCTGGAGGCTATGCTTGGTGATGGTTAAGGGAAGTATGGAGTATATTGCTTGTGTCAGGGTTGCTCATCGCTCCCTGCCTCTCTGGCTCTCCTCTCCCTCTCTCTCTGTCTCTTTGTTCTCTTCCCTGCTATCTCCACAGACACTGACACCTGGGTGTGTCTTGCAGCTGTTGGAGATTCTGCTGATTACACTCACCAGCTACATAAGACCCAGGCAGACATTTACTCAAGGCCAGTTTGTTATGTGAAGAATCTACTCCACATCCTTGGTCCCATTCATTGTATTCTCTTTCTACTCATCAGATTATTGTAATCCTACAAGCTTCAAGTAAGACTGTTTTTATTATTCTACCTCAACTTTGAACTGCTGCGCTAACCTGTGTGAGACTCCTGCTCCCACGCTCATCTCAACACAGCACCCTGCAGCTATACGATGTGACACCACTCAGCCTGGGTCATTCCACAGCTGCTACTCCTTCACCTGCCTGGCTTTCTGTTATTCTGCTGCAGCTACCTCTACCACACCACTCAGCCTGGGTCGTTCTACCGCCGACTCTCCAGAACAACACTCAAGCCCAGCATTCAGCTAAATTACTCTCCAGCTGTCCTCCATCATTCAGTAATGCCTCCCAACCTAGATCGCTCTACCACGGCTACCGCAAACGATGCTCAACCCCATCTCACTTGGGGTGGCTGTGGCTCATGAGGTAGGACAAGTCGTCTTCTGACCAGCAAGTTGGTGGTTCGACTCCCCGCATGCCTAAGTGTCCCTGAGCAAGACACTGAACCCCAAATTGCTCCCGGTGGCTTGACTAGTGCCGTTGTGTGGCAGCCTTGTCATCATCGATATGTGAATGTGTGTGTGAATGGGTGAATGGTGTATGATCTCCTGTAAAGCGCTTTGGCCAGTGCAAAACACCGTGAAAAATGTGCTATATAAATACAGTCCATTTACCATCTCACAGTCAACACCACTCTCCAGCAGCACACTTCTCACCAGCAACACCACTCTGCTTGGGTTGCCCGCAGCTGCTACACCCTTGGCTCCGTGAGTCTAATCCACCTTATCCACTTTCACTCATTATTCTAACTTCTGTCCTCACCCAGAGATGGTGCCCTGTCCTCCACCTCAATGGCTGAGTTTCCCTGGCCTGTGAGACAGGATCCCTGTCTGCTCAGCTCTCCAGGTTCCAGTGGGCCTCTCAGACACCACAGTCCAGAGACGCAGCACCACAAGATTCAAACCCCACTTATCCTCTGTCTATAATAAAACTACCGTTTACTTGAACCGATGCTCTGCAGTCTGGGTCTTATTTTCCTCCCTCTCACCTCACAGTGAGAGGTCAACCATAGATAACAGCTCATTGGGTTCTGACAGCAGAAACAGGATTAGACCTCATCTCGACCAGGCTGCTCAAAGACATTTTACCCCTAATCAACACATCCATATTGCATCTGATCAACCTCTCTCTATTGTTAGGTAATTTCTTAGTTAGATAGATATTGATTAGAGATCTGTTGTATTAGAAAATGTTAGTGTAGACAGGATGTCTAGCTCAGGCTGTTAAATGCTCAGTTCATTGTCATGAGCTTGCTGCAGGCTGCATGTGGGCCCCAAGGTCAACTAGATTGAAGAGTCTGCAGGCAGAATGAATATTGCTAGTAGCATGATATGCTCAGCCGTAATCTTAATCATAACATTTTCCGAGGATCACTTTTAGGACATGTCCCTGAATGTCCTGTATGTTTTTAGATGCACACCACTAATCAACAGCCACACACTTGAATTTTCTCCATGTTT